GATCACAACACAGACGACGGCGATCAAGACGGTCTCTCCTCTCTTGATCCACTAGACGCCATGGATACAGTGAAATTAATGGAGGAGCTGGAAGACTACATGCCCGTCACGGATGGTTGCACCGATAGCGGAGGTACATCTGAGCTCGACGAGAAAATTTCAACTTCGGAGCCTGGTGAAGCTATATCACATACACCTAAACCACCAAGCCGCGCAGTGGATATCATAAACCTCCCGCAACCAAAACGCCGCGGCAATTCCAGGGTGACGACGAAACAGCTTCGACAAACTACTTTAACTTCTGGACAACCCCGTTTAGCTGTTCACAAGTATCCGAGTGGATTGACAGTGACACTAGATCATTTCGTTCGCTGGGCAAGGAACACGCCAAATTTGAAATTCGTCATGGAGACGCTAGCCAAGTACCCAGTCCAGCTTGAAGACCCATACCTGAGAGTACGTACCATTGAGTGTCGGTGGGAAGCCAAGCGGTCAACGGATTATATGCACGCGTTCGCAATTCCAGTAGATCTCAGTCGGTCTCTCCAAGCAGCAGTCACGACAGCATGGAAAGACCAGAACGCGCCTGATCCACTGACCGATACCGTGAAGAAACATGGGGTCAGGCTCGATATTGTAGCTACTATCGATCCAAAACTCTGGAAGTTTAGCAGGTAAGGTTGTTGTACCGCTAAGGTTGCCTTATTATGGTTGCTATAAAAAGGTTGCGCTAACGCATGGTTGCTATATATTTCTAGTCGGTTCGTCGGAGCTTTAACTACATTCCACGCCATCAAAGCAAAGTGCCAAGTGTGGGTCGAAGACCGAAAATGGTTGGAGCAAGATTGGAAAAAAATCCCCTCGGAAGTGAGCCTGTTATCAAAAGAGACAAAGACGCAAGGCTTGTCAATCATTGCTATCTGCAATAGACATCAAGATCTGGCCAACGAAGTGATTGGAAAGTTTGCGTCAAGTCGATTGCTTACGGAAATTCGGACGCTAACTGGAACTGGATCGACCACTTTCGAAAATATCCTGGGTGGCCTATGTCGGGGATGGCTGAACGACACTCATATAGACTTCTGCCTGCGAGCAATTGGAGGTGCTGTAGGCGGTTGCTACGTGATCTCGTCGCTGATGTGGGATTTTGGGTGGCCATCTACACCTAAAATACCTATTGGACAAGTCAACTTTGTCCTCCACGCAGTGCACCTGGACGACAACCATTGGGGTGTTGTTATTATCCACTTGCAAACGACTAATACGAGTGTACGAGTACATGTACACATGTACGAGCCTCTAATTAGTGAATGTTACCACAAGAGCATGGAGAAGGTATGGGAGGGCATACCTAAAGATGATCATGACTCTGCAACCGAAGGAAAAGAAGGCCTTCGCGGATACCTCGACAGGTGGCTCACCGTTTCGAAGCCGAATTCGGAGATTGTGATTGAAAACGTTGAGTGGGTATTATCGCCGCGGCAGCCTGATGGGTCTAGTTGTGGTGTGTTAGTTGTAGCGCAGTGCTACAACTACGTTACCGGTAACATTACAGAGCAGACCTACGACGTCTCCAAGAACGATGTCAAAGTAATGCGCCTTCGCATTTTGTGGACAATCCTGCATATGTCCAAGGAGATACCTATCTCCGACACTGACGCTGCAACTACGACTGAAACTCTACAAAAGCTACAAAAAGAACTCGGGTAAGTAGTATCACCTGAATTTATCTTTTAATACAGATAGTAGTCACTGTATTATGCGTTCAGATTGTGAATTGCCATCTCCAGTAGCACTCCAAACGAAAAAGTACCATCCTGAACTGTCCCCCCTTCGAATAAATCCGCCATTAGCTGGTAAATGCGTGCTTCCTCCTCATCAATACGGCCCTGAAACGCCATTTGAGCTGCCATTATTTCGTCCAAACTGTGCTGTATATTATCGAGCACCTTCCGCATCTTCTCCAGCTCCTTGAGTCTCGCGCGCGTCAACTCACGTGCCAAAGTTCTCGTGTCCATATCGATGTCGAAATTGAGAGTAAATCAAGAAAAACAGCAAGTGTGAAAATATTTGTGTTCTTCACATAATACATGTGGCTTACATAAGTAAAGAATCCCTATATTTAGAGAAATTCGATGATGGAGGACACGTGGCGTTGGGTAATTTAAAATATATTACCGAGTGTTCGGCGTGTTATGGTTGTTTTTGGGTCTAAGGTTGCCACAAATCGTGTCAAGGCGTTGTAAGTAAAGTTGCGGTAACGCCATTCAGCACTGCCAGTATAAAGTGCACATGAGGTCCTTCAGTCCGTATAGCTACAGACACCGGCAAGCCAATGTTCTTCAACACGATCGAGTTCATCACAACCATCTTTATCACTACAAATCTGAATACGATTGAAGAAAGCGAGCGAATGATTGAATCTGCTGTTTGTTTTTCTTTTCCTTTTCGTCACCTCACATGAAGCCGTGGCCATCCTCTTATCTCGCTTTTGAGCTACGCGCACGCGTCGCCGCTGCTGTCCACGGCGCGCATTACCATTCTGGCCGCTTTACTCGGCCATCGCGTCTAATTTTGCCTCCATCCGCGCCATCGCAGTCGCTAACTTGTCGATGTCAGCGGTGTGTTGGCCTAGTGTGTGGAACATCGCTCCCTGCTGTGTTGCTAACTGCTGCTGAGTCTCCGTGGTACGGCACAGCAAATCCATCAGCATCGTCTCCATCTTTGGACCTGCCGTCACCTGACCATCGCCAGCGTTGGCCGCGACAAGATCCTGCGATGCGCCAGTCACTGGTTGGGCCACCACCTGGTTTGCGATTCCAATTCCCGATCCCCGGAGCGGCTCGGCGGGGCGTTTAGGCGCCTCTGTCTGCTGATCATCGCTCTCGACCACCTCCACTGCCTCACCATTATCAACCGGCGCAGCCACAGCGTTCTTACGGTCCTCCAGATTTTTCATCGCCACATTCGACAATTTCTCCAAGGTAGCGATATCACACGTGTTGCGTGGCTGTGTGTCGAATACAAACACCGTGCCAAGAAGATGGCCGGAGGGCGTGCAGATCGGCGCGCCGGCATAGAATCGGATTTTGGCCGCACCCGTCACGAGTGGGTTCTTGGCGAATCGCTTATCCAACAGAGTATCCATAACAACCATCGGCTCCTTGGACATGATAGCGTGCGCGCAGAAGGACACGGAACGCGGCACTTCGTTCTGCGCCAAACCCACGCTCGCCTTGAACCACTCGCGGTCCTCGTCCAGTAGACTCACGGCCGCGATGGGACTCTTGAGAGCGTTGCTGGCCAGGTCGCAAATAATATCGAACACGTCTTCGCTGGGCGTGTCCATAATCTCAAAGCCGCGCAGAATCTCGAGACGCTCAGACTCGCCTGGAACGATGGGGGGCTTGGGCCACGGGTGGTCCCAGCTGAAGTCGAGCGGGTAGTCGAACTCGGGCTGCTGGAAATCGCGCGTAAAGTGCGACAAGTCTCCCTCCGAGTTGCCGGTGGGCGAGTGGAAGTTCTGTGCCTCCCAGTGCTCCTCACGCGGGGGCGGCGGCGATGCCGTGCCCGACGTAGGGGCGGGGGGCGGGGCCTGAGGGTTTGCCTGGCCATTGGCGTGCGACAGGATGCACGACATGCATACGCGCACCAGTGAGCGGCCGATCACGGGCAGCTCTGCCTCCTTCTTCAGCGTACAATTACCGCACACCACCTCACCACACTATAGTCGTCACACAGAGCGTAGTAAAAATGGTCAGCGGGTCATAGCTCCCCGCAGAAAAGACTTTCGATGAGCGTACCTTGCGACAGTGATGCTTTCGTCGGAAGCGCGTGAAGTTCCGCGTGCACACGTGGCATCTGTATCGCTCCGTGTCGAGCACCCAGTCGTCCTGGTGGCGCAGCTGATCGATGGTCAGCACGTCGTTGCCACCGATGGTGCTGCTACCCTTGAGTCCCTTGCGCGACATGCTGCGGTCTGTCTACCTAAATGGATACACGGGGGAGGAAGGGGACGAAGTGGAGCAGGGGGGAAGAGTCCTTCAGTCTTGGCGAGCCAAACGTAAGGACGCGCACACAAAAAGCTGCGGGCTTACGTTAAAAGTGTGTTCTGCTGCTGGGGAGGGGGGGGGGGGCACTCGGCGAGGGGGAGCTCGGCGGATTGCCTTGGCTCGAGTGGGGGGCGCTCTCTTTCTCGCGCTCGCTGCCTTCCGCTCCACGCGTGTACACGAGTCGAGTCGGCCGCCAAACTGAGTAATAAGTGGCGCGGTCTGGGCCTCTTTGCAGCGAAGAGAGCTCATACAAATTCCAAGTGCACTTCGATGCTCAGAGAAAAGCCATTTAGGCTTTTTTATCTGGCTTCGCCCCTTCGTCAGCAGTCGTGCGATCGTAATGGCTAAAATGGGTACTAAAATGGGCACACACGCGGTAATAGGCTCAAAATACAAACTAAAAAGATCGATGCTATAATAGTTCCTTACAATGAAGTGCCTCCGTTATATCTGCCATGCATACGCATGCAAACGGTGTCATATTATATCTAGTAACTTTTTGCAATTGAGCTCCTGAAAGTTTCGTTGTGTTGCTCTCACGAACTTAGCAGAGCGCGATTGTTCTCGTTCCCTAGATTTGGGTACAAGCCTGTTTCTGCTAAGTACATGTACCCTTTCGGTAGCCCAGTCCGAACCTCTTCCAGGCTCAGATGTGTGGCTCAGGTGTGTGGCAAAACCCGGCAACCAAGGCGCAAAAGCGAGCTCTTGCTCTTATGATGGCGGCGATAGGTTCGTTTGACATCCAGCTGCAGGGGCTTCCTCGAAATACTATTCGGCACGGCGAACTTTCTGAGGACGGCTACAAATAGATTGGGCTCCAATCAGGTGTCATCTCCCCTCGCAGGACAGGCCAATGGCTGGATCACCAAGAATGCGGGCTGGGCGACACAACATGTCCAGCTTTTTACGTGCGACGCTCAGACATCGACTTGAAATTTGTAAGAACGATACAACAGCCAAATACAAGATGTCTCAAAAAGCCTCGTTGTGAGCATCCACAGAGAAGAGCCAAAAAGGCCTTTACAGCGGGCAGCACCACACGGCTGGCTCAATTGACGCCAATGGCGAGATGCTGGCCAGTACGAAGAGCCAAACACGAGACCAAATTTATTATTGCACGAAACCACACACTTGCTTCAAGAGTGGACAACTTCTAATTCGATATGTATTTTATTGCTGATCGCCCAGCGAACTCGCCGACTTGCATGGCGAAATCTGCGGCTCGTTTACATGTAGTACTCAGATCGCGTTCCGCCCCGCCACTATCTTGGTGCATTGCAACCTCGGATTGGCACCATTACCGTATTAACAAAGTCGACTGGGAGCCGCAACGACAGCAGCGATGTAACCTGCGCAATAGATCGCATCATTTCTTTTCCGAACGCAGACTTGAAGCTGTTCACGCTGCAGCGCATTAGCTAGGGCGTTGGCAACGCGAGCAGCAGTCTAGCCAGACGCACGTCTCACACGCGATCGATCATCCCGCAGCAATTGTCGAGCGAAATTAGTCACAGTCTCAATTTGAGACCTACGTCCCTCGGTGGACCTTGTGGCTGTTGACGCATTGTGTCGAGCTGCTTCGCTGTGGAACTGAAAAGAAATGGCTTCGTCACGAAGTTCGCTCGTACAACGCAACACAAAGATTTGCCCTTTTTCGAATCCTTCCATATAGAATACCCCCAGCTTTTCGCACTCCATTAGATAGGTTTTCTTCCATCACCTCCTTCATACTGAAATAAAGCTGCCATGACGAGCCGCCTCAAGGAGTATCGCTACTACCTCAGCAGCGGCGTGAGCACGGGCATCAGCGTCAAGATCTCTCTGGTAGAACTTGCGCCCGCTCTTGGATGTTCCGTCAGCGGCGATACACCCAAACGCGCTGTGTCAGAGGCACCACTGGCGGGGTTGGAGCAGCTAGCGGGCACGTCGTCTGAAGTACGCAACTCGCCTGTAAGCGAGATCTTCCTGACCGCACAGGTGTTCTCCGATGGGCTCCCACTGCATCCCATGGTCATTAGGTGCGTATTATGTCTCGGTTGGTGCCTTTATCATTGCTTTATGAGCTCTGAAAGCTGAGATGTGGCGTCTTTTGTGTTGCTATCAGTTCCAAGAGCCCCACCAAGTGCAGCAACTCGACCATCTACTGGAACGAATGGATCTCCTTCCCTGTGCGCTACCGCGATCTCTCACGTAATTCGCTTCTGGCAATTACCATCTGGGGGGTGGGCTGGGTACCTATCGGCGGCTCCACCATCTCCTTCTTTACCAAGCAGGGCGTGCTGCGCGACGGCGTGCAGTGTCTCCGCATCTGGGAAGGACGCGAGGCCGACTCGTCCCCCAACACCACCACACCCTCAGAAATCGATGAAGAATGGGTACGACAGGAATGTTTCCGACTGGACAAGCTCCGCGAGAAGTACGAGCGCAAGGAGATCGCTCGCAACGAGTGGATGGATAGTGTCACAGACCGACGCATTGCTCGTATTCGACGAGGCAGTGAACCACCCACCAGGAAGGACGCACTGGGCCCTTTCTGCTCGTACCGTGAGGACGCCCTACTGTGGCTGGAGATGCCATACTTCGGAGATGTGGTCGTGTACGAGGAAGAGCCGTATTCACAGCGCAACTTGACGTCGTCGTACACTGCAGACATGGGTCCTAGACGGATGAATTACGAGAACAACACTGCGTCGTCCTCGGCTCCGTCGTACGACTCGCACACGCTCAGTGGATCGTATGATCTGGCCACTACAGGGTCTTCTGGATCCAGAGAACTGCCGAGTCTCGTGACTGTGTGGGACCCCGACCTCAATGAAGACAACCCGGCTGAGCGCAAGTACCGTCGTCTGGCTCGCGATATCCTTCGTGGATCTATTGACCCGAATCTCAAACCCAGTCGCGACGAAAAGGCTCGGATTGAGCTCTTGCTGGCTACGCCGACGGACAACTTGAAGAATGAAGACAAGGATTTGCTCTGGAAGTTCCGCTACACTCTGACCGACAACAAAAAGGCTGTGGTGAAATTTTTACTGTCCGTGGATTGGAAAGACGAACTGGAGGTCAAGCAAGCAACCGATCTGCTGTCTCAGTGGTGCGAAATTGATATCGCTGATGCTCTGAAGCTACTGGGTCGCGAGAAGGAATTCAAACACGAAATTGTACGTCATTTTGCTGTATCAACTTTGGCCACAGCCAAGAACGAAGATCTACAGGACTTCCTGCTGCAATTGGTGCAGGCGTTGCGGTATGAGAAGCCTGGCGCTCCCATCACATCTTCTCGCGGCGGAATGAGTGTGGATGAAAATGGCAGTACGGACGGCTCGACGAGTGAACTGGGTCCTTTGGCTCGTTTCCTTATTGCTCGCTCGAGCACGAATTTCCAGATGGCCAATTTCTTTTACTGGTATCTGAAAGTGGAGGCTGGCGACCAAACGAATGACTCGGAGATCTTCCACACAGTGTTAAACCAGATGTTGACTGAAATGAAGAGAGATGAAGAAAAGAAACCAATCTACGACATGCTGATGGCTCAACGTGACTTCATGGGCCACATATTGGCAATCCACAACAAGGCTCGTGAAGAAAAAGGAAGAAAGGATCAAAAGGAGGAAAAATTGCGACAGTTCCTCAAGCAGTTCCCGTGGCCTAAGGGTGCCGTGATCTCTCTGCCTCTGGATCCGACAGTTCACTTAAGTGGAGTTGTCGCCTCATCGGCCAAGATGTTCAAGAGCGCCATGTACCCGGCCGTGATCCAGTTCCAAACCGTGATTTCTCCAAATGATCAGCATCACCACGCAATCACGGCTGAAGGCGAGAACCATCACCCACCCAATCTGAGTCAGTCGATGTTTGGCGGAAGTGACTCCATGATGCGAGAATCTCTGCCGACACGTATGATCAGCTACTTGCATCGCGAAAAGGAAGGACCAATGTACAAGTTTATGGTGAAAAACGGTGATGATCTTCGTCAAGATCAACTTATCATGCAAATGTTCATCCTTATGGACCGATTGCTGAAAAAAGTCAACCTGGACCTGAAATTGACCCCGTATCGGATCTTGGCAACTGGTGCCAACGATGGTTTGATGGAGTTCGTGCAAGACTCGTACCCGGTGTCGTACGTGGTCTCCCACTTTGAGTCGCCCCAGATCGTGGGCTTCTTACGGAAGCACAACCCAGACCCAAGTGCGGAGTTTGGAATTGCGCCTGAAGCTCTGAGCACATACGTGAAATCAGTGGCTGGCTACTGTGTACTGACGTATCTACTGGGAATCGGTGATCGTCACTTGGACAACCTGATGATGAAGGCTGAAGGCCACTTGTTCCACATTGATTTCGGTTTTGTCTTCGGCGCTGATCCCAAGCCGTACCCGCCTCCGTTCAAGTTGACGAAGGAAATGGTGGAAGGCATGGGCGGCCCGACCAGTGAGCACTACCAGAAGTTCACAACGTACTGCTGCCAAGCGTACAACTGGCTGCGCAAGAGTGCGGATCTGATTCTGAACTTGCTCAGTCTGATGGCCGACTCTGGCATTGAAGAATTGTCAGCGAATCCTGCCACCACTTTGCTCAAGGTGGAGGAGAAGTTCCGTTTGGATTTGACTGACGAGCAAGCAGAGCAGTTCTTCCTGGGTCTCATCAACGACAGTGTGTCCGCTCTGTTCCCGCTGCTTGTGGACTGGATCCACAAGGTTGCAACCAAGTTGAAGTAGGCGAGTCAAAATCATTCGTCCATTTTCCACATTACATTAATGTTTTCCTCCGTTTAGCTTGACAAAACTCCGTTCTACCGACAAGTAATTCTTAGTAATGAATAACATTCTTCATATGGTTGCCTTTCCACTACCAAAAGCTAGTTGCGAGCTCAGTAGAGCGTTGTTGGCCAACCGGAAATCTTGAAGCACCATGAGTTTCTCTGTTCGCTGGTGTTTGGGCACAAAGCCTCCCGTTGCCTCGGTTATTGCCAACGCTGCTTCTTGCTTCTGGACATGTTCCTGGAAGTGTATATCGAGCATTTGGTTCATTCGGAGGTGCTTTTTGGGCTTGGAAATGGAGGTCACTCGAGTCGGGGGAAGTACAACGCGTGATGTTCCTGGACTGTGCGAGCCATGGGCAGCTATTGTATCTGCCGTGGACGACGAAATGACAGGGAGTGAGACGCGAGGAGGTTTGAGCGATAGTTGCATCGGATCTAGTGGGAAATCTCGTTTCAGGAGCTTTGTCACCTCGATGACGGCACATACGTACGTGAGCTCGCGTTCGTACGATGCATCGTGAAGTTTTTCGGCTGCTTCGTGGACATTTCCGATGCTTTCAGCAAGAGCGCAGAAGGCGACTTCGTCGGTCACTAACGGCTGACGACCTCGTATTCGCGCAATGCTGCCGTATAATGCCTGTCGCGACTCGAAGAGCTCTGGTGCAAGAGCTAGAAGTTTCTCCCAAAATTCAATCCACGGCATTGTCGAGGAAACATATCCAAGCTGTAGAAACAAAGTACTGAGAATGTATGAAGATAGTTAACTGAAAATGGGGAAGTGGCTTACCTGATGATATGTCTCCATCGACTGCTTTCGACGTGCATCCAGGCGATCTTTCTCGGGGGAAAGAAGCCCACTACGCAGTTGTGTAGTCGCTTTGAGACGAGCATTAGAACGAGACGATGGCGAAGCTTCTCGTCCTCGATACTGTGGATTTGTAAGCAATTCCGTCATTTCTTCCATCGCTGCCTTTTTTCTTGCAAGAAAAGATTCATGACGGTGCTCGATATCTACAAGGGGGTTCTCCTCCCGTCTACCCACTTGGTTGTCATCAAGATCGACAGGGTTTTGTGGTACAGTTTCTTCTTTCTTGTTGTCCGTTGTGTCACTGGTATTTTCAATTTTTACCGGGACAGAAAGCTCTCGTGTCGTAACAGTGCTTTGTTTCCGCTTTGACAAGCTAGGCATCTTCGTTACTTCAGCTTCAGAGTTGCTGTTATCCAGTTTAATATTCAAATTCCGACGACTTCGTCGGAAAACGCGCTGAAGGCGTCGTACTGCTCTGCCATACAACTCCACTCGTACTTCTTCTACAGTCTGGGCGACAGATTTCAGGAGAAGTTGTGCAAAGCGCTCCTCATAAGGACTGTTGAGCTCAGTAGGGGATACTAAGGGAGGAACATGGCGATTCGCCGTGCGTGCACGTTTGTATTCTGTCACGCACTTGTTGTCTTCACCCAAAGATTGGAAGCAAAGGCCGAGGTGATAGTGGATGGCTGCAAGAGCTTGAGACTGTTTTGCAAAATTCAGAGCGATCGCGTAATACTCCAATGCGAGTGCATAGTCTTCATGATGAAAGCATTTCTCTGCTAGAGAGAGCCACAAATCAAAGTATTCCTCATCTTTGAGCGTTGTGTCATGCTGATCATTCTTGTCCTTCAAAACGGACGCTAGACTTTGAGCTGCGGACACGTAGTCTCCACTTGCCTGTTGGCACTGCATCAACATCAGTCGATAGTCTGCGGAGTCATAGACTGGTATTGAATTAGTCGAAGGTAAGAGAGCGCCAGTCTGACGCTTAGTATTCTCATGGAGGGTGAGAATTTTGTTGATACAGTCAATCGCATCCACGTAGAGTTTCAGGCGATGGAGCACTTGGAACTGAAGAAACAATAAATTCGGACGGTCCTTATCGCAAAAGCTCACAAATTGAGAAAACAGCTCATGGAAAATATCTCGTGTTTTCTCCAAGTTGCCATCGCCTTTGTGCCAGAAAAGGACAATAGCATAACGAAGGAGTAGCATCGGATCCATCAGGCTCTCCAAATACGCAAACGCGCTTGTAAATGCTCGTAGACTCTTGTTCAAATGAAATCGCGCAACGGGCAGATATTTCCGATGACGCATGAAGATATCCAAGTGCGCTGAACCAAGCCAGAACCAATACTCTCGCGTTCTTGTTGCACTTTTGTGCAACAGAGCATCATTTTCCAAAAGTAAAATTGCTGGGATACTGGTATCCGGTGAGCGAGCATATCGAAAGCCCAGTTTGAGCAAGTTTTCCTCATTCCGTGGATCTGTCATTACGAGTTCCTCCAGCTGGAGGCAACCGACCTTTTCGATAATGTTTTTGCCAGCCATCCACTTGCCCCATTTTTTGTGGTAATTGGTCCCGCTTTGGGCCACTCCGGAGTGCTGCTGGATCGATGGAGTTTGACGTTTGCTAGTACGACGTAGAGCTGGATCAAGGCTCTTTACCGCGGACACTTTGGCCCCTGTCTTCACAGCAGTTGTTGAAGATAAACCTGGTAGCGGGTTACTTAGATTGATCGTGCTCATTCGGCGCATCCTTTTAGAGAGATCACTATTGTTCACATCTTTTGCTGTATGTCGACGTTCAAGTTTGGGCGGTAATTGATCTACTACCACTTGTGCATCTGCTACTTGTTCTACGGAGCTTCTTCGTGTAGACCCCAATCCTTTCGATGTTATCTTGACCTTACCAGTACTTATCGATTTTTTACGTGGATTCATCGATTTTTTGCGTAAAATTGCTACAGGTTTCTCACATTCTGGAGGTGCTTCTAATATAGGCTCTTCCTGCTGACTAGAAAGAGTTAGCAATGGATAATTGTCGTCAGCCAAACTCAACTTCTCGGTACTGAATTGCTCCACCTCGATATCAGTTGCTTTCTGCGGTTGCGTCGTGATTATTAGATCGGGTTCAATGCTTTCTGCAAATGTATTCTGCATCGTTTTGTCATGTTCTGGATCTCGGCCATTCTCTTCGAAAGGTGCCGTATCTTCGTCGGCATCAGCGCCCACACTTGTCAGCTCTTCATAGGGTAAAATATTTTCGGTAGGGAGTGAAATACCATCGATAGGTTGAACGATGTCATCAACTGGAACACTTGAGTCAGCATCATGGTCGGATACAATACTACTTTCATTATATTTTTGATCACGACTGAACAGAGTGCTGTTTACAGAGTCTGCAACCAATGGAGGGAATGACATCGTATTCGCAGTTTCTTCGTCTTTGTAGTCGATCGATAGCTCCATCACTTTCACTTTTTCATCGGAAGGACTACTGTTCTCTGGTGCTTCCACTTTTTCTGCGTCATTATCATGCGGGCTTAGATCATTCTGGATTGCGTCACTTCCATCGACAGAGATTTCGGGGTGATTGACAGTATCAGACGCTTCTCTAGGGGACACAAGCATATCTTTTTCTCCGCGTTGATCCGCATCGTATCGATCCAGATTGTCGTCATTGTTAGCACAAGACGGATTCTCAGTTAGACATTTCGTCTGGTTTTCATTTTCTTCATCGATCCGTAGAAAATTGGCGCATGATTGCATCTGGTTATCGGTTATGGCACTTTCCACTTTTTCAACTTGCTCAAATGGTTCTTTATCCATAGCGTCCCCTTTTTCCTCGACCGGCGTTGTAGTATCGGTCAATTCCTCAGATTCGTCTTCTCTTGCCTGAATGTGCTGCTGCTCATGGCTCCTGTCCTCAACGCAAGTCTGTGCTGGGTTTGCCACCACCGAATCTGCCATATTATTGGAAATCCCCCCAGATTCATCATATATGTCGGGAGGAATCACGGATTGACTCGGTTCTTCCCAACATTCTTGCCGAGAAGTACGGGGGAAATCTTCTTTCTGAGAAGTTAGGGGGAAAGCCAGCTCTACAAGAAGAGATAAGTTTTCCTGAGCTTCTGTATCGATCGCTGGCTTCGCTGCAACTGGTGGCAAGTAAGTATTCGCAGTTGCCTGAATACCGTCTGTAACCCCTTGATATCTCAATATGTCGGCCTTTGACAACTTATCCAAAGTTTCACTTGTGGGATTTTCAACATCCTTCGTATTCGCAAGAATCGACATATTTGGAGAATACGTCACCACTTCAGGATCAGGAGACGTCACAGAAGTCTCTTTTTCCTGAATGACTTCGCATTCATCTGGAGTTGTCTCTGGCTCTGGTGGAGACAGAAAATCTTGAACGGGTACTTTGGGTGCTGCGCTTGGAAGTGGAGCTAAACGCAAAACCCCCTCACAACCCACAGAGTTTGATCGTGGCCGTGACCTTCGTTGTAATCCGCCACGACTTCCTTTCGCTACTGAAAGATCTACAACTTGAGGTGGCGGACTATCCTCTTGGTGGATGGCTTGATCATCAGGTTGTTTCTGGTGAAATCCAGACATCAAATTTGTTTGGGAACGCGGACTGCTTTTCACTGCATCATTCAGCTGTGGTCCAGCTGCATTTGTGCTCAAGTTTTCAGCTTTAACTCCTTCGTCTCTAGGCACCGAAACTCCAAGACGTGGAGCTGAGTGTGACGTACTAAGGGCAGCAGCGTAGATATTTGGCGAAGTCGACGTCCTTCCACGTCTTTTTTCATGAGCTAACCTCGATGTACCGGCGTTCCGTTGCAAGGATCCACCAACAGCATTGACCACCATCACACGACGCGCACTACTCAACAGCGCATCCAGTTTATTTGGCGGGGTTTCGAGAGTTGGGCGTTCGTCAGTGATCTCAATCTCCATCCCAGGAATGTCGTCTTGCCAATTGTCTTTTCCCAACACGCTTCGATACGTGTCCAAAGTTCGTCGGCGCAGGAATTGCTCTGGTTCTGATGCATTCAAATCAAACAAATTTCTTAAGCTGTACAATTTGCCCACACTCGAGCGAGGTGCAGATGAAGCTCTTGGCTGGTGTGTGGGTTTTTCAGTACTACCCACGATGACCATTGAGGCTCTTCTTGCGGTATCTGGGGATAATTGACCTGACTCTTGTTCTGTTTCTTCAATTAATTTTTGGTAAGAGCCTTGCCCTTGAATAGACTCCAACATTGAGTTTGGGCATTCATGAGCCGCCTGAGCAATCATAATTCGTTGCTGACGTCCTTTTTGCCGACGCTCTTCAAGGTCCTTATGTTTTGTTTTGCGTTCCGGAAGTGCTCGCTTCACCGGTGACAAGCCTGGCGCTAAGGTATATTCTTGCGTCGCAGCTGATGAATCACTTTCGTAGAGCGAAGGGTGATCGGACTCCTCATAGTTCGTCTCCAGTTGCGCTTTCCACATCGTCTTGGAGTCTGCTACTGCCATACGATGTAGTATACTTGCTTCGCTGCCCTTGCGATCAAATTTTCCTGACTCTATCTCGCTTTCATCGTCCCTGTTCAAGTCAGGACCTGAGCGTCGCATTGCTGCCGCAACTGCTTCCATAGTACGCCTTGATGTTTTCTGCACGCGGACAGCACGTTGATCCAGTCGCTTGGAGGGTAGATGCGGGTTCCTTTGCTTATGCGGCGGGGTGCTGGACGGTAAGACTCGGGTCTTCTTTTCAAAATGAGGCTCGGGCTCCCGGCACACAAGCTTTCCAACGTCTCTCTGTCGATTTCCAATGATGCTGAGGTATGTGAGGATCCCGTTTGCCATAGCCTCTGGGGTGATCATTTCGCTGCCCTCCGCTTCAGCTGGATATGCTGCCCTATACAAATATTCAGCCTTTTGTCGCGTCACAAACAGTGAATACTCATTTTCCACATCATCTCGCGCTGCCACTCGAAATCCATTTGCCCTCGCGGAGCTCGTGGACGCTGATGGAGTGGAAGGTGCCGAACGAACTTGCGGTTGCACCTCGAAAATTTCAATCGTTAGAAGCCTCCCAGCAAGCGGGACATCCTCAATTTGAAGCACGAGCTGATCTTTTGGTTGTGAAGAAGGGTGGGATGTGCTAGAGTTTGCTGCGCTCATAATTCATCCGACGGCAAGAGAACGCTGGGCTCTCGTTAGTCAAGGAGGATGATAGCACCACACCAACGCTAACAACCACAAAGCACTTAAATATAGCCCGACGTGTAAAGGCACAGTTTTTTTTTTTTAATACTCCGCTCATACACGAGTTGCTATTAAAATAAGAAATAGCCGAAAACCTTAGTGGCGGAATGCCAAATGTTGATCAAGCTCGGTGCAACTTGCACTTGCATGCGAGCCGAGTGCGTTTGCCAGCTAGAGGTCGTAAAAGGAAGGCATAATTATCTAAAACTTATCCTATCCACTCATTCGCTTTCAAAACCATTTCACTGAAAACAGAAACATAAACAATTGGATTGTAAACCTTTTAATTCCATTCTAAACCTTTAAATTCTCGCAAATTATTTAGGAAAGGCATCCATTCACTGCTGGTGCGAAATTAGTCCGAGCTCATTGTACGAATACTAAAACAAAACCGGTCGTTCGGAGAGTTAGCGAGGTTATTAGTATTCTAGCTCTTGCTATGGCTAAAACTATGCGTAGAAAATAAAAATCATGTTCATTAAGTATTAATAGAGATTGTATCTCTAATTGCTAACATTTACACAGCGTAATGATTCTTAAGTAACACAGTGGTAGCTTACGTATGCCTTATAAAGTAAAAAGGTAGCAAAAGTAACAATACTTTTAGCAAATGGAAACGTTTTACTATTTACCTATTGGCTCTGATTCTTCGGGTGACGCCGTGGCTGCATGCGGTGACGGTGTTCACGCTCTATGTGTGGTGACGGTGGTGGCAGTGGTGACGTGGTGGCGGTGGTGGCGATGAGCGGCTAGTGCAAGCATCCGCTGCTCGCGGTCGCTAGCCGTGGCCAGTGATGGTGCATAGACATGGCTCCCGCTCATTGGAACACGCAACGCACCGCCGGCCCCCAGCTCTGGTGGAGCCGGCTGCGAAGGCGTCCCATGAAAGGAGCGCCTCGCAGCTGTAGTCCAAGACCGTCAAGATCAAGGGGCGGCAGCTCCACTCGGGCCCAACGAGTTAGGCAATCGAACGGCTCCATTTTTGGAGTGCATGAAGATTCATTAAGATTTTTTAACGACTGAAAAAGATTTATTTTAACCAATCATAACCAACGTATTTTTAACCAATTCTTAAATTCTAATTCAGCCAATCATAGTATTTTGTAGCAAATAATTTTAGCCAATCACGTCAACCTTCGATCCGCTCAGCTACTAATCACAAAGCTCCAAAGTTCCAGTGAAATCGTGTGACGGACGGACACCGTGCTAGCGTTGATGTTTAAGACTAGCCGAGCGCCGCCGCTTCGAGGTGGTATCGTTTGTTGGAAGAGAGTGGTTGGAAACCCCAACTGGAGAGCCGTTAAGAAGAAAATTTCCTGAACGATCTATTCACAACCCTCCCCGGGTCTTGCAAGCTATCCGAACTACGTATACATGTATACCCAGTTAGAAACCACTCATTCTTGCCCCGAGGCCCGATCGACGGAAGCAATGCCGCTAGCGCAGCGGGTGAGGCCGTCGGCGCGCAAAAGGCTCCCCCCTGATTCCGCGGCGACTGCGCTACGTCATAGAGGACGAGAACAGTGTTAGTGACGGTAGCGATTTTGCGCTGGGCACGACATCGAGTTCGGCGGCGCAGTCGGACAAATCCAACCGCTCTGGCGATCTTCTCGGCCAGCATTCGCACCTTCCCCCTCCCGATTGCACCGAGTTTGAATCTTGGGACGCGTTCTGCACGTATATCCACACATACCAACATACCAGGTATTTGTCGCTTACCACGCTTTATTCGTGTGTTAATCTAATAATCGAGTTGCTGCTCAGATGTTCAGACTTCGGACAAACAAGAAGGTCGGTGAAAGAAACGCTATTATTCAACACACGGGCTCCGATTCAACACCTATTCAAGAGACATGGGTATGGTACGCTAAGACGTTGGTGTGCACCCACGCCGGAAAATACAAGTCTCGTGGGAAGGGCAAGAGAGCGCGTCAAGAATCTCGCTCGATCGAGTGTCCAGCACAGGTAAGACTTACACTCTCTATCGCTGTCGGGCAATATCAGCCTCCGTAGAGCTCTGTCGGGCGCTATCGAATGCAGTCGGGCGCTGTCGAGCGCTGTCGAGTGCAGTCGAGCACTGTCAGGCACTGTCGAGGACAGTCGGGTACAGTCGGGCACGGTCGGGTACTGTCCGGCATAGTCAGGGAAGGAACATGCAATACTCTACTAATTTGGTTTTAATATTGCAGATTAATGCTTTCGTTCGGGAAGTTGATAAAATAGCTCACCGCTTTGCTGTCTGTATTACGAAACGTATAACAGACCACAACCATTTGGTTGATTCGAAGACGTATCAACAGTATCCATCAAACCGAATGGCAGTAGGAGAGAGCGTGCTACAAACGGTGGAAGTTCTACAAAAAAATCTACTACAAGTGTTCAGCGTTTAAAAACATGGATGGTTGAGTTCAGTGGAGAGACCGGTAACGTGGGTCGAATTTTTGCAGATTCGCAACAAAACAAGGTAAAACTTTTGTAAAGCTTGTATTTTATTCAATTAAACTGAGAATTGCTCATTGCTTTACTAAAGAAAACCGCGACTTGCATCACTGTGCAGACAAAACACATGAAGTACTTGTACGACCGGTTTCCTGAGGTCGTACTCATTGACACAACGCACGGAACGAATGCTCAAAGTACAAAGTCTTCTCTTTCATAATTCATGATATTTTTGGGAAAGGTCAGTATGTGCAGCACGCGCTGCTGCAGAATGAGAGGATGGAACCCCTCACCGCAGCAATTGAAGAATTCAATTGAACAATCCTGCTAAAAAGCGGCCAAAGTGCATCATCATAGACAAGGACTTCACTGAATTAAGTATGGTCGAGACGGCGTTCCCAACTGTCAAGATTCTGCTTTGCCAGTTCCACGTAATCAAGTACTTCCTCTGGAAGGAAATGATTGAAAGAATCCAATATAACAGTGATGGAGTTTTATTTTGTGTACAAAGATGATGTGTTGAGTAGTATCTATTTGGACAGGTATTTATTTACACTTGACACTAGAACAAGAATGGCCAACCTGCCTTTTCGAGGATGGCAGGGGCACTTGTATAAGCATCGCGGTCACACACAAAACTCTTCGGGAGTTTACCTTATTTTCGAAGTTTTGCTTACCCATGTGTGGCAGCTTGTAATCATTACTTCCACCTACCTTCAGTATACATTCCATACACTTCTGAAGTGTAAGAAAAATATCGTCAAGCGTATCTTCGTCCATGGCCTTGTATACATTCTCTACGGACTTTATGCGGGCTGAATGCCATAGACTGGTTGTTGAAGCTGAAGAGCCTGTAAAGAGGCGAACAGTCCCAAATCCAAGGTATTTGTGTCGGGTGAATTGGCAGGCTGGTAGGAAAGCCGAATATTCCAACCATCGGCAGTCCCCGCAGCTAAATCGTCTGGGTCGCTTGGACTAATGTGGGGAGTTGCGTTATCTTGTTGAATCAGAATTACATTCTGTTTTTCTCGGCGGGGCCGCTTCAACTTGATAGCGGGAATGACATGGTCCAGTAAGTAACTCTTGTAGTCCTCTTGATTAATAGAATCAATATTACGAATGCACTCTTCACCACGAGTTCGATATTTGCTTCGACGAAGCGCTTTATACTTCTCAGTTAACGGCCACAATCCAACTTTACCGTCCCATTCCTTTTTACGATGTGGGTCCCATCTGTATTAAGAAATATAGGAATTTAGTAAATAGAATGTTTGAAAAATATTAAATTGCAGAATGTTTACCGTGGACGCGCCACTGCAGCGAGGAACATGGTCTTTGGGATGTTGTTCTTACTCCGTCGGCTACGCTGGAGCGGGGTTTCGTTTTTCAAATACTAAGCACGAGCGCTTGTTGACATCCTCATAGAACCACTTTTAATCGAACATGAGGCTTGTAGGGTCAATGTATGCAAGGACATGTTCGACACGACGAAACTTGTTATTGTCCGTCAGGTAGGGTGTAGTGCGAGTTGAATGCACCTTCAATACGCCTTCACGTATAAGTGCTTGCACTAAGTACTTGGAGATGCCTGTCGCGTGAGCAAGTCGCCGATTTGGCTTCCTTTCTTCAATAGGAACAGCCCGGATTTTAGCGGCAATTTTGTCGCGATTCTGCTTTTTCCGGCCGGAATTCTGCTTAATACGACTCTTCCACTCTCCCAGACCGTCCTTGGCTTCCGTCTCACAGAATCGGTGCCATATCCTTCCAATAGAGGCGTCGGAGCACCTGAATTCTCTGGCAACTCTGGCTTGGACTCCTCGTGGCAGTTTGCCGCCCAAACTCTGCTTCAGCAGCTCATCCAGGATTCGGCGGCGTTCGTCATCGGTAAGGTTTGCTGTCGGCATCGTTCAGGTGCTTTCAGTGTAGTAGTGCAGATGCAGCGGATAAAAAAAAAAATGGAAGTGAAATGTCGTGTGCTTGGCTGGGCAAACTCGGGTTACAGAGCTTCGATTGAGTTGCGGTTTGTTGCAATCGTTGGTTGAGACGCACCGCATTATTTTGACCAATTAGCATTAAATTTAACGTTGTTTTGACCAATTGAGACGAATTTAATTTCGATTCTTTCAATCATTTCAACCCAGAGGAAGTACTTACGTGAGGAAGTCGCCAAGGCGGACGAGTACGGATTTAATCCGTGGCAGAAAGAACAGCTGCGGGGTCTCTCCAATCTTACAGTGTATGCAGAAAGTGAAAGGGAGTATGAAAAGCATCATCGCTACATGCACCACGTCATCGCCGTTGGAAGTGGCAAGTGAACACGCTTGCGCTTTGATTTTCGAGCAGTATGCATACGCTGTCGGCCGTGCTTCGTACAGTTTTTATGAAGCTGTTCCTGGTGTGATGTTTATCAAGAGTACGGTTAACGATGATGATGCTCTGGACAAGCCAAACCGCGTCTGTTACCTTGCCGGCATGTGCTCTATTTGCGCAAGCAATTGAAGAAGGAGACAATAATTCCGGCTCAGCTCCACCCAAGGTGGCTCAATCCGAACAGAAAGCCTGGGATACAAATCGGAAGTTTCGTGAAGCAAACCAAGTTGCAAATAGCATCACAACTACAATGAGCAGTCTGGGGATGCGCGAGTATCGAGAGGCTCTTTGCGCGCTAAATTCTGTAGCGGAACTTTTCAAGAAAAAGCAGTTCAGTGAGATCCACCGCCGGTTAGAAGGATATCAGCCTCATCAGCCGCAGAGGCAAGTTTGTGGACTCACGGCTGCCACCGATCTGTCATCATCGGAGTCTGACCTTCCCCCGACTGGGCGCCGAAGTGCGGCTGCCGGCTGTAGCGACAACACTTATGCTCCGGTGACAAATTCAATTGTAGAGCTGATAGACTCTCGCAGCAAAGCCGACTCAGCAGAAGCCATAGAGCACTTCGAAATTGCAAGCCCTGTGCGTCCGCGAGGAAGACCAAAGCAGCAGACATCAGCGAAGAAAGCCAAGAAGAATCGTGAAATCACACATGTTCACCACGATTCGAACATGCATCACATGCAAATTGATATATCGGTGCTCTCAACGATACCACGTGAAGACCACACATTCAACTCTGCAGAGAAAATATTACGAAAATATCGATTGTTTGAAATCGAGAAAAAGCAAAACAAGCAGCTAATCGCCCACCGCAAGAACAAGCTTCCTCCCAAGAAAGTGGCGCTAGGGGAGGGCGAAATATCAAGAATTTTGTCAAAAGAAGTGCTGCGTAAATGCAGTAAGAAGATGACGACGTTGCAAGCAAAGCATAACGGCCTTCAGGAGATCGATGTAGTTCTCGAAGTGCAGAATATTGGCATTTTTACGGCTGAAACACTGCGAACTATGCGAAACTATCATCGGGCTATCGATGCTATTGTTGAGATCGACAAAGCAATTGACTGGGTAGCGACGATTGATTTCGCGATTGAAGTCGACCCGCGGTTCCGAGTGGAAGAAGATGAAACACTATTGGACGACTTAAAAACCACGCGACTACAGTCAAAAGAGGTAAGTACTACATCATCTCCATTGTTAAAAATGTTAACTAACAGTTTCTTTTCTTTAGCTCGAGATACTAGATATAGTTGGTCGCGGTAATTTCGGTGACGCCGTGTTATGGCAAAACTATTCTCGAACAACCCGCGAGTTGTCGTTGTACCCCCCGTGCTTTTTGGGTGGGTTGTGGGCAGAAAGATTACTATGGATGTTGACGCAGTCGAGGCCACGTTATCGACGATAGCTGGAGAAGGTGTAATCATTCCAATCAGCTTCAATTCGAATCATTGGTGTGCTATCATGATCGATATCGCGAAGCGAATTGTGTATATCTACGACTCCATGCAATCAAGTTACCTTAGCAGCGTCCGAGTGGTAGCTGAAAAGCTGACTCCAATGCTAGCAAGTAGCACGGGAGAGAGGTTTCGCGTACAGAGGTACGAATCTGACGTGGGGGCCCAGCTCGACAACTACAGCTTTGACTTGTTTATCATGCTTGCGTTTGAGCACTTCACTGGTGCACTATCGCTCGGGAGGCTAGACAAAAAGTTGATGATGTATCTACGCTACAGATACCTTAGTTTGTGCTTACGCGAAATATAACTTTACTTTGACTCATACGATGGCTTTTGTATCTGTGGCAAAGTGCACTATTATATGTACCACCCAGTCTTTAGAACACTGGTTGCCCACGCGAATAATTTAATCAAGTCAACTATTATCCGGGTATACATTGTGAAGAATCGGGGAGGGCAATCTGGCTCTTGATCAGTCGGTTGCCCGTCGGTGCAGTCGGGTGCTGGTCGGTAGTTATTGCCTCGTCTCATATCTCCCAGTCGGGGGCAGCAACACGTGCCTTGTTGGAAATGAGGTGGTCGCAGCTTTATGTACTTCTTGTTGTCGAGTGCTTTCGGTGTTTCTATTGTACTTCAAGGATTCGTACATATTTCGCGCCGTCGTTTTGGTACTAAACGCGGTCCACGCTTCCTCGCAGTTGTCGACCACATGGTGGTAGTCCGCGTCCATGTGGAGCAGCATCAGACCGAACGCGATGTTGCTCGACTTGACATACTCGTCCCTGGCGCCATAGCGTCATGCGATTCCGTACAGTTTCGTGGTCTCCTCTACTTCCGCGATCCCGCCCTACTCCTTGGCCTCGGTGCTCTTTCGTGGTCCACGTTCTTTCGTGTTCTTTCCTGGATCCATACTCGTCCGTGCCCTTTCGTGGCTGCGTGCTGTTCAGTGGTTATATGATCTCCCTTGGTTTCATGCTCTTCCGTAGTACGGCTCTCTTTCGTTAATTCTACTTCATCTTCCATACTTTTTATTGGGTCCCACACGCTTTCGTGGTCCCTTAGCCTCCGTGACCAATGGTTTTTTGTCGTCCGTACCGTCGTCGCTACGTGCACCTCCGCGGCTCCATGCGTTTCTGTGATTTTGTGGTCTCAGCGTGTGACTCCATTCTCCATTCTCTTTAGCTCTATCGTGGTATCGTGCTCTGTGGTTGTGTACTCTCTTCCGAGGTCTGTACATGACGTCGCTCCTCATTCCATGCTCTTCTGCCATCCGTGCTCTCATCGCTCTGGTCTTTGGTTTGCTACCGTGGATTTCTGCTCCTTCTCCGCTCGATACTCTTTCGTATTCCGTGTTTCTTTTCGTGCTCTTCCGTCGTCCGTGCTCACACAACCCTGTGCTCTGTCGTGTTTTTCCTTAGCTTCGTAGTCTTCCTTAGTCGGCGCTCCTCCCTCCCTCCGTGCTCTCCCGCGATTCCGTGCTCTTCCGTATTTCCGCGGGTTCGTCCTCGTACTAGTTTCTTGTTCTTCCGTGCTTCCGCTTCCATTCCATCATGTACCGTGCGCGCCAATTTGATAGCACCGCCGACTTTTGTGCACATTTCTGCAGATTTCTCAGTGTGTAGGGCGAGTTGAGAGGCACTGTTTAGATATGACACTATTATTAGGCCCTAGCTACATGCTACTTGTATCAACAACTGTAATATTGTTTGTCTTGGTAGGGCTGGCATACAAACTGTCAATTTCTGCCCGTGCGCCACAACTTAGGACCATACCCTTTTTTGTCAAAACGAATATTTTGATGAAATTCAATACAAACTTCTATATTGAAGTTAGTACTTAGTCAGAGCACCCTCTCCTTTGATGACATCGAGACAGCGGCGAGGCATGGACTCCAGAAGCGTAAGGAGGTATTCTTGCTCGATAGAGTCCCACGCAGCGACAATGGCTGCCTCTAGCTGGCCGACGTTGTCGTATTGTCGACCATGGGCATATGAAACGAATGGCGGGAGCCCAAGGTCCCATTCGGACCCCGGTTCCCGCATCACATACCGGTTTTCGTACTTACCACCTACTACTATATGTTTGTGATGATTTCTTTAATATATATATATATATATATATATATATTAAACTGTAAAGATTCCTAGTGTTAACCTAGTGACGCTCCGCTACTATACGATTGAGGGGGGGGGGGGGGGGCTGAAGAACTGGAGTATAGAAGGCTGGGAGCTTGTGGCCTTTCGTTTGTTCTTAGGGAGACCCGGCCTACGTTTTGGCTTCTTTCCCGGTGCATCTGCTGCTGCGGTGGTGCTTTCATTTTCTTCACTAGTCACAGGTGCTCTAAAATTGCATCTGGAACATTTGGGCAGTAGCTGAGATGCTGAGGCCGTAAAGTATTGCCACGGTCTACGATGAGGACATGGAAAACCGTCCTCGAGGATCCAAGTTTCACAGTGAGTTTTAAAGATGGCGATATCACTTCCACTGAAAGAATGCCACGGATTGGCTCGTTCTCGACGTGTGTGTAGCGTGTCTACTCTATTTTTTATTGCATCTCTTATCCTGGTCACTCAGCTTCCTCCAACAGGTACAATAGCATGCACTTCACGCTCCGAAAACCCTTGCTGAAGAAGCTGGTAAATCACACCTTCAGATTGCTCCCACTCGCGGCCTCCTCCGCCAGTCTCTCAGCTATTCCGCCCATCCCGAATTGCTGTAATCTTATCTTCACCGAGGGTCTCGACTACGCGGGCATACGATGCCTCCTTCCTACCCATCGAGACACCAGTCCCTGCGAACCACCCGAGGCCATGGTTGGGAGCTGTTGTGCTTCTTCAGGAACGAGATCTACTTGAATGACCCCTCGGTTATCTTAAAAATTATATTTAACGGTCAAAATAAAAATAAATAATTAACTTGAGATGCGGTATTGGATGGGGGACCCCGGGGTCCCGCCATCCGAGTATATTATACTCGAGACGCCATTGCTGACCATACATTTTTTTTCAATGGGGGTTGCAGTCCGGCGATCGTGCAGGCCACACCATGATGCTGACATGCATTTTCCTGCTGGAATGCATAGTCTATACCGTAATTAGCATGAGCAAAGGGCAACATGTACTCAGAATGAGTATAGATATAGCCACCCGAGTTTTGTCGACCATGCAAAATGCCAAGCTTGCTCTTGCCTTCAGCACTGAAAGCACCCCATACCATTACGCTGCCTCCGCCGTTTTGACGGCGAATGTATGACTGGGTTGGCCGGCGTATATCGTGCCAATAGAATTTGTAGCCATCCGGACCATCAAGATAAAAAAAAATTCGTCAGAAAAAAAGTATATTCCCATATTCCTACGCAGCAGGAAAATAAATTAGTATCGCTAATAGTATAAATGCACCACGGTTAACAAACATACCACGGTTAGCGATGTGTTCCTCAGTTCACGCCATTCGTGCAGTCTTGTGTGCCGCCGTTAACGGCAGTGTCCTGTCCATCTTGGTGTAGACGAGGTGGTCTACGTTCTTCAGCAGTCGCTGGACAGTGCGCACCGAAGCCTTCACGCTGAACTTGGTCTTGAGCTCAGCCGCGAAGTAGTCGCCCGTTCCAGTTGCACGGACAAGCTGCCGCACGTCTCAATCCGACAGCACGGGTCGTCTTCCTGCCCTCAGCAGCTCGCCACAGTCGTCGCTCTGCGACCCTCGCTCTGTCTTAATTACGCGCCGGGCAGCTAACCGTGAGCTTCCTGTTGTCCTTGAAATCTCTCGTAACAAGACCCCACCGTCGTGTAGTCCAATGACCCACCAATACTCTTCCTTTGTGAGGGCTGCTCCGCGGCCCATTCGAAAATGAAAGGCTCAGTGCGGCGGCGGAAGCCTCCAGTGTGCTTGCTGCAGCTTGTTTCCTCCAGTCATTGTGTCTTCTAAAGTACAATATTTCAAAATAGAAGTTTGTATTGAATTTCATCAAAATATTCGTTTTGACAAAAAAGGGTATGGTCCTAAGTTGTGGCGCACGGGCAGAAATTGACAGTTTGTATGCCAGCCCTACCAAGACAAACAATATTACAGTTGTTGATACAAGTAGCATGTAGCTAGGGCCTAATAATAGTGTCATATCTAAACAGTGCCTCTCAACTCGCCCTACACACTGAGAAATCTGCAAAAGTGTGCACAAAAGTCGGCGGTACTATCAAATTGGCGCGCACGGTAATATGTGCTGAGTACATTTAATGTATGCCACATACTGTTATGGAAAGCTCACACCTACTCTTAAGTTCGCACATTTCGCACAAAGTATAAACCAAAAGTTCATGATTACTCATGACCAACTTAGCATGCATTTCGTTGTGAATAATGTCGAGTTTTACACTTGCACTATCGCCGATTCAAAATTGCTTAAGAACATAATTAAATAAATATTAATTATGATAGTCAATTTATAAAAACTCGGTATACAAAAGCCTAATTTGATACTAATCCAATACTTATTTTAATGCTACTTTAAATATTTTATCTACTAAACCAGTGCTTGTAAAAAAAAAATGACAATAAAAAACTTTGGTTTCTATCAACCACTCTAATATTATTGCTCTCTGTGCCGTGATAGATGTAGCATATTTGTTTTTACGTGCACGAAATGTTTCGGTGGCTGTATCCTTTTTTTGTCAAGGCTTCAGCCGTCTTTTGACTCAGTATAAAGGTAATGTTGGTGTTTATTAAGGGAAGTGTCATTACCAACGTATTTTGTTGCTCAATCACCTTCACAACAATGTAGTTTATCTTTAATAAATTTCCGTTACAACTACTTTTCGGTGTTCATAGAACTGGTTACACCAAAATTTGGAAACAAAATACAATATCTATTACTCATCTATTTATTATTGTGTAACTTCTTACACGTTTATTTACTATTGAAACAGCTAACACATTTAGTTTTTAGTAATATCCGGGCACTGACTAAAATCAATAAGTTTGCTAAGTAAGAACATTTTTATTATAGTAACTCGAAGTATGTACATACAGCACGCTGCAACCGATGGGAATAGCACGCGGGTGTCTGTGTCAGCTATCGGGATGGCCGGGTGAGCGGAGCGTCTTTAACACTTGAAGAAAGCGGACGCAATGGCTGCGCAAAGTTACCAGTCTTGATATTACAAAAAGAGGCGGTTACCGTGCCCGATTTTGCAGTACATAGGACAGGGTTTGTTTTCCAGAATGTAAATTATCTAAAGTCACACAGGCATGTTCTGCAGTTTCATTCAATCGACGTGTTTCGATCTTCTACAGAAATTTTTGTCTTTCGTCCAATCGAGGCACTATGATCGTGCAACAGATCACTGCACACCACATCACGTTTGTGATGTTGATCACATAATTGACATTTAGCCAATCGGGGACGTCTTCGCTGCGCTCGGCAGTCAGTAGAATACGTGGATTTGCGTTCCCTTATTAACCCCACCCCCTGAACGGACTGACCGACGGACAGGCACCATGCTCTAGTTGATGCTTTGTTTAGTTCCAGCTTTGCTGGATGTGGCGTGTTCTTGCATATTTTTTTGCTGGTTTCAAATTCTTCATCTTATTTTTGGGAGTGAATAAAGTCACGACGTGGAAAAACAGCTGATTTTCTCTTAGATACGATAAGTAGAATTATTTTCACTACAATTTAAAATAGCTGTCTATACATATTTAAAAACATGACAACCCACTGATTATGCTCACCCGTCCTCCCTGACCCATCTCTACCGAAGCACAGCTGTTCATATATCAAAACACCGGGGGGATGAAAAAGTATTTCGCTGCCAAGGATTTTTGCTTCTTCGCCGGTAATATCTTAACTTCATGACGCGATAGTCGAACAGAGTCAATCGATGCCTAGAAGATGCTGGTTACTTCCGTTCCAAATCGATCAGAGAGCACAACGTTTCTAATAGCATCGATATTGGCTTGAGCTATCATTGAAAATGATATCGATTCCTCATCTGGTGTTTCCACCGTTTTGCGAGCCGTACACACACCGCCATCAATATCGAATAGGTAATTGAAAGTGTATTCATCCGGTGGGGGCAAAAAATATTTGCTCAAAAGAGAGTTCCAACCTTCAAAAAAATGGTCTTTTGGCTTTGTTGTGGTCCAAAAACACTCCACTCACGTTCTTGGCTTGATTCACTTTGTCAACCAAATCCATCGGTGTATACAAATTCAAACCTGAGTTGCTTTGCGGCACCATGCTATTACACGATTAGCAATATTGTGTGAGTACCCAGGCAGTAAAAAAAAACACAATACCACTTTCGTGTAAGGGAAAACCACTGATAGAAGAGCAAAAAACATGAGGACCACCTTTGACTTATTTTGTCCGACACAATTGTCAAGTAAGCTGAAACTGACCTCAGCCGGAGGGAGGTTCGAGTGCAAATTGCCAAGTAACTTGGCAAGATGATAGTTCAATCGAAGACGGCATAGTGCGTCCGCATCCTTGCCTTGGGCTCTTTCGTCGTAGAAGTAAACGTGATTGATATTGTTGCTGATATCCGCCACGACAAAGTTCTGTAAAATCAAATTACTATTAAAGTAATCAACAGAAGGTCGAATATGACCATAATGAGGCATTGATATTCCGCCGCCAAAGTCTTCTGCTTGGATCAGCATTCGGCAATGCTCCAAATCTGGAGTACTATGTTCATTCCCAACCGCATCACCAGAAATGTTCACGTCAGATCTCTCTAAATCCCCATAATTAACTGATTCAGATGTAAATGTGCCATCGTGATCGTTCTCTATATCACCTTCCCCATGAACTTCATCGGTTTCAGTATTTTCGTTCGAAATGGTCTCAGAGCCATCTCGATACTTGTTGTCGCAATTAATTTCGTCGACAGTGTCTGGAATAATTAATTGAGGCAAATACTGCTCTGGTGCATGCAGCGCGGCGTAGTTTTTAATGAAAGAAGAAACGAATCTTCTCTGACCAATGTCTTCGTCCAGATGCATTTTCTTTTTTAATAAACGAGCTTCTCGTTCGTCATCGCTGATGTCGTCTTGTTGAAGTTGAATATCTAACTTCACACAGCAATCGCACACGTCTGTTGCGGTCCTTGTTAGGCGAACGCCCGGGTAAATACAATGGACATGCTGTATAAAGCGTGAATAGCTCATAATTCGTGCAGTTGGGTGAACACGTTTGACTTCCTCTTCATATCGAGAGTGGACGATACGCCAAGTCAGTTTGGACTGCCTCCAGTTCGACCAGTTTGTTGACAAACACGTGTCGCCGGTTTGGGCTAATGCTGCTGAGCTGTGACAATGACCCAGGTATTCTACACTAACTGCTACGCTATGGGAGTCCCTGATTCAATATGACTTTGGTACTACGTTGGTACTTCAGTGACTCTGAATACTGCATTGTGAATATGACTGTTACGTTGAAACTCGGACTGCTGCGTTGTTACCGTGACACCAGCATTGTGACTCAGCCTGCAGCGTTGTGATGCAGGCATCTGCGTTGTGTCTGCTACTACGTTGTGAGTGAGACCTGCGTTGTGACTCGTGATATTTTAGATTGTGGAGTACCTTCATACATTCCGCCCTTCATACATTTACGTTTTCATGTATGCATGCATATCTGTCGTTTAGCACTTATAAACCTAAAATTCTTACTTCCTCTGTCCCACGAATTTATGCCTATTTCGTTTTTCTTGTGGTTTACTCAAATAGTTACGATCATACTGTTGGACAAAACTTTTCGCGTTTAGGGTTATTGCTGATCAAGTAAAATGGATGGCGGTATACACTAAATCTTCACAACAGAACTCACCAAATTAACCACTGAAAATGGCACGCACTCTCGGCGCCAAGGCTATTCCGGCCAACACTTGTGTTGCGGTGGCGGGCTTCCTTGCTACACGAAGCAAAGAGGGCCACCTTCGTTACGGCACGGTGTCGCTAGCAGTGAAGGTCTTCCGCATAAGCCAGGCAGCCATCAAGCAGATCTGGGCCCTCCGAAATGACCCATCATCCCTCGTACTTCCGCGCAAGGCGTATTGTAGACAGTGGCTACAAAGCGCTCACATCACAGATTGTAAAATCAATAAATGATCCGGTTTTTGAGTATCATAACTCGTAGGATTTATTTACTAATTATTCGATTAAATCCGTCCTGATATATGATTGGCTGGAATTTTCGAATGATATGCCATCAATTATGTTAACGGACAAAAAACGCACTTCTTTGAGGGCCTAATTAGGGATCTTGCGCGCGATTGTGAGCGGTTTGGCTTGCGATATGTATTGAGATACCCAAAAGGAGCATATGGTTAAAGTTCGATTTAATATCGCTTTTTTTGGAGTGGAATTACGAAAAAAAACTTATCGAGCTGCAATTTGGCGCCACTCTTGCGCTGTTAATTACATCCTACTTACCGTTAATATAACACAAAAAATATGAGGAGAACCGTTATTCCAAAAGCTTTCCAACAAGGGTGTCAGTGCATCAAAATTATACCTACAGATATAATTAGGCGGAAAATTGTCAAATAGCCATAAATTCGTGGGGCAGAGAAGTATATGAACTTCCTTATAGCGACACACACCTCTATACTTCAGATACAGAGGCTGGGCAATGAGTTGCAACAGCACTAGTATTACTAAGAAGAGTAGTCGCTGTTCTACAAGAATAAACGTACATTGCGTCTTTACGTTCAAAAAGCCCAAACACTAATAAAATGTAACTCTATCGTAGATATTGCTCTTTACTTATTATTTATGAATTTATCAAGTGATTCTCACACGATCCAGCTGGTGGGGTCTAAGATATTGACTCTCGCTTTTTTGAACAACAGCGAGAAACATTTGTGCAACATGAGATGCGTCGATGCGTCAGCGTTGGGTTAATGGATTTGTGGGCACTGCCACGATAGCTTGTTTGCGCGTGTGATTGACAAAATGTGTATGTATGGTGTCTTGGAGGTAGTAGTATGTAATTGCGCAGCAAATAAGATGGACAGTTGTAGCTCCATGAGTTGGTGGGTAAATGCGAGAGTGTGTAAATGTATTTTGGTGTTGTGTTGTTGGTTTGTTTGGTGTTGTGTTGTTGGTTTGTTTTGGTGTTGTGTTGCACTTTGTTTGTGTTAAGTTGCTGTAAGGTTTGTGACGGTACACCCGTCTAGCTC